CTCTGAGGCAGGGACCGTTACAATCTTCATTTCACAGATGAGGAAACTGGGGCTCAGGCTGCTTAGATAGATGACTCGCCCAAGGACACACAGTGAATAAATTAGTGCAACTGCAGCATAAATCCAGGCCTGTTGTATGCCAGAGTTCAGGCTCGTAATCACTTTACTCTCCTCCCCAAGGTCATTTAGCAGCTATTAAATGAGGGAAGTGGGATTGGCCTCCAAGTCAGCTCTCAGATTCTCGGCAGACTGGTGCTGGCCAAGGAAGGCCGCCTGAGGAGCTCCCCTGCAGGACCTTCTGGCCAGGACAGCTCTGCCTGCCATCCCCTCCCTGGCCTCTGCCTCACTCAGGAACCTGATCACATCCTGTCTTCTGCTGTAATTTCTTTCAAGGCGAACGCTGAACCTTCTGCTATCTTCCTTCCTTCCTTCCTTCCTTCCTTCCTTCTTTCCTTCCTCTATTCACTCACTCATTCCTTCTTTGTTTTTTTAAATCAGTCTGGTGCAGAGAGAAGGATGCAAGCTTTGGAGCCAGATGACAGTGCTCTGAATATCAGTGCTGCTTACTCACTGAATAGGCTTGGTCGTGTCACAGAACCTTTCTGGGCCTCAGTTTCCTCATTTTGTGAAATGGGGATACTTCCTACCTTGCTTTGTTGTGAAGATGTGCATAAATGCACACAGAGTACCCAGTACAATGCCTGGCACATAGTAGGTACTCTCTGAAGACTGCTCTACCATCCTACTCCTTACCCCTGGCACCTAGATCAGTGCTAAATTGTTTGCTTGATTTAGTTCATCTTTGATCGGCCCACAGCACCTAGCATGGTGCCTCACACAGAGCAGAGGATCCTGTATATGGCCGCTCAAATGGAAAACTGGAGAGAGCTAGAGAGGAAGAACCACGCAAAACTGCATGGCCACGCATGAGAGCTCTCCTCTCAGAGACCCTCTAAGCAGATCTCCAAATCTCCCATTGCCTTAGTCTCCCCAGAGGCCAAAGTCAGTGGCAGCTTCTCCTAGACGGCTCACAGAAATGGGAGCCTGCAACATCAGAGGTTTGTAATGTAATCACGGATAATGAAAAGGTTCTTCTCCAAGCCTCGAATGAGTCAGAGCTCTGTGCTTGGCTCTGGCCCAAGGAGTACCAAGAAAATGAAATATCGTCTGTATCCTCATGACACCTAAACAAATGGTCAATTCCATGGGTCAGATATCAGCCGGGGGGGTTAAGAGGCATCTCCAGTGACGGGAGGGGAGGAACAGCAAGGAAAGGACCATTAGCAAAGGTTGCTTTAGTGGGGTCCTGGTGCACGGCTGCTGCTCAGGCTAATACCTGTCTGCCTTATGGTGGGATGTTTGTGGTGTCCTCATGAAAGACACCAGTAAATGACAACACGTCTGAAATCAACAAGGATTTCAAACCTCTCGAAATGGCTCAACAACCTCTTCCACATCCTGACACCCGAATCCAGCATAAGTTCTCATCTAGGTAACATACTGTTCTCTTTCAAAACAAGTATAAACCAACCCTGAAATCTCAGATCTGCTCTTTTTCTTTCCCTGGCCTTTTGCCACCATAGAAAAATGTCTGATAGGCTGAGTTTTCGCACTGCAGCTGGTGACCGTGATTATGTAGACACAGCCTCCGTAAATTCAATGGTGTGTTGCTGGCTGTTCCATAGCTGGTGAGATTAGTGCCCAGGGAAGTGGGAAATGGGCCACTGCCACCGGTATGTGGCTCGGAACTTGCTCTTCATTCTGTGCCACCCTTTCTCTCCCACATCCCTGCTTTTGTGCTAATTGCCAGCTTCTGCCAACTTCCTGGCATTCTCTTCCTCCCCCCACTCCCCAGGGGAATTGACTAGTTCAAGAGAAGCACCATCATCCTAGACTGAAGAGACACAAAGTGGTGGGAACTGAGTGTGTGATGCTCCGCTCTTCCATCATTGTGGAGGAAGAGGAGGAGAAAGGGCAGCAAGGTGCCTTCAGGGCTCACTTGACCCGCCAAGGGAAGCTGATTACCTGGGGCTTCCTCCCTCTGGGGCAGAGGAAGGAGCCCCGCCCTGGGGGCCAGGGAGCCGGGTGTTTGATAGCCAGCTCCGCACCTGCTGCTGGGGAGCTCACCAATCCCCGCTGCCGTGGACCACCTCCCAAGTGGGAAAGTGGCAAGAGAGGGTTCCAATAGCTCTTAAAGAGTGAAATCACTATAAATCTGTGAATCTCTTATTTTAAAATCTTCAAAACCAACTTAAGCCAGTTTAATTAAAACAGGAAAAAAATTCTGTTTTCAGGGCTGTCTCCACCACAGATGTCTTGATCTCAGGGAACTCCTTGAAACTGTGTGTTTTGTGCACTGGGGAGTCTGTACATTTGGGTGGGAAAAGGTTAAAACTGTATGTGTGTGATAACCACCTACCCTCCCAAAAATATATATTAAAAGTAAGGAGGAATTCAGGGCCTTCCTCTGTGTCAAGGAGCTGAAATGTAAATCGCCCCGAGCAGGTCCCTTGGCCCTGCAGCTCAGGTGTGGAGACGGTCACCGGGAGAGGAGAGAGCCCTAGGCCCGGCTGGTGGACGGGAGACGGAGAAGCATCGGGCTTTGCTTTTCGGTCTCCAGCTGTCACAGCCCATTGCTCTGCCACGTGTCCACTGGTCACACAAACTCAGGATATACAGACTCTCTCCGAATCACAGTTTCCTCGCCTGTCAGTGGAGACAGGTTATGCTTCTCTCAATGGGATGTTGGGAGGAATAATGGCAAATGAGCAAGGACTCGGCTATCAATAAATATGGGCTCCCTCCAGCACTCATAGCTTGGGGGCCCCAAATTTACTACGTGGAAGTATGTTCCTTCTGTAACCATCAATTCACTCCCTATCTCAAATTTATATTGTATAGTCACTATGGAAAACAGTATAGAAGTTCCTCAAAAAATTAAAGACAGAATTACCATATGATCCATCAACACCACTCCTCAGTATATATCCAAAGCGAATGAAAGTAGGATCTCAAAGAGATAGCTGTACTTCATGTTCGTTGCATCATTATTCACAATATCCAAGATATGGAAATAACCTACGTGTTCAATGGATGGATCGATAAAGAAGATGTGTATACAATGGAATTCTATGCAGCAGAAAGAAAGAAGGAGCTCCTACCCTTTGCAACAGCATGGATGGAACTGGAAAGCATTATGCTGAGTGAAATAAGCCAGGCAGTGAAAGACAAATACCATATGATCTCACCTTTAACAGAAAGCTAAACAACAAAACAAACAAGCAAGCAAAATATAACCAAAGACACTGAGATAGAGAACAGGCTGACAGGGATCAGAGGGGAGAGGGGAGGGAATTTCAGGGGAAAAGGGAAAGGATTCACAGGAACAAGTATAAAGGACACATGGGCAAAAACTAACAGGGGTGGAAATGGGAGGGAGGTGGGGACCACTGAAGGGGTGGGCTGGGATGGGAGTAAAAGACAGAAAACTGTACTTGAACAATAATTAAATTTTAAAAATGCTTTAAAAAAGATGTATATATATATACAATGAAATATTATTCAGCCGTGAGAAAGAAGGAAATCCTGCCACTGAGAGCATTGTGCTAAGTGAAATAAGATAGACAGATGCTGTGTAATGTCACCCATATGTGAAATCTGAAAAGCCAGACTCAGAAAGTTGAGCAGCAATTACCAGGAAGTGAGGGAGGGGAGCAGGGAAATGCTGGTCAAGAGGCAGAAACTTCCAGTTCTGAGATGAGTGAGGTCCAGGGATCTGATGTCCAGCGTCACGACGGTAGTTAATAGCATTGTGCTATATATTGGAAAGTTGCTAAGAGAGTAGATCTTAAAAGTTCTCACCACAGAAAAAGCTTGGTAATTACGTGACATGATGAAGGTGTTAGCTAACGGTATGATGGCAACCATTTTGCAGTTTACAAGTATATCACATCAACCTGTCATATGCCTTAAATGTGTACAATGTTATATGTCAATTATGTCTCAATAAACTTGAAGGGGAAAAAGCCACCACCTACCTCGCTTCTGGGGGAAGGATGTGACACAGCAGCCAAGTGTTCCACTTGGGACAGACCCACAGTTGGGTTCAGTCCCCGGCTTCTTTCCTAATGGCTGTGTGGACGTGGGCAAAGAGTCCAACTCTGCTGCATCTTGGTGTCCCTTCCACAAAATGGAGAGGACACTGAGGAAGCTCCTCCTGTCATAGGGTCATGAGGAAATGCAGAGAGTGCTTAGCACTCTGTCTATGACCAAGTACCAAGAACTGGAGTGTCGTTCCATAACATCCGGCTCTCCCGGGGCATCTCTTGGCCCACGCCTTCTTTCCCAAGTACCGTTCGCCCACCTTTGGGAGTGTGTCCCTAGAGCCGAAAGTGCCGTGTGGCCAACAGGCAGGAGGAGAGGGGATCCAGGCATAATCCAGATTCCCCAAGTCCCTTCCCCCTTTGCCCAGTGATCTCTTACCCCTGATAGGCCACTAGCTGGTTCCTCATTTCTTGCAGGTCTTGGCTCAAATACCATTTCAGTGATGCCCTGAGCACCCATTCAAACTTTCAAATGCCACCCCCCACACACCATTTCCCCCTCCTAGCTTTATTTTCTGTTATACCTGTTGGCACACCACACGCCTCAGGGTGTGCTTGCTTTTTAATGAGTGTCTTCTCCCGTTAGCATGTAAGCTCCTGGGGGCAGGGGGCAGGGGTCTTTGCCTGCTTGGTTCGGCGCTATGCCCCCAGCACCTAGAACAGATCCCTGAGCAGAGCGTGGGTTCTCAGTTAACAACCTGTTGAATGAATGAGTGAGTGAGTAGCTGAGTGAATATGTGAGTGAGTGAGTGAGTGAGTGAGTGAGTGAGTGAGTGAGTGAATAGGAGAAGAGAGGCCTTATTTTTATTTTCATGGGGAGGTAAAGGATAGGGGCTGGTGTCTCATGTGACTCAAGTCCCTCCCACCTGCCTAACCTTGGAATTCTTCCTCTTTTAGGTGCCGCACAAGTTGCCCGTCCCCCTAAATCTGGGGGTTGACTCCAGACGCTCCCCATTGGAGGTAAGCACCCCCGCCCCACTTTTTTAAATGAAGAGTGAATAGGAGGGGAAAGAATCCCAGGGGGGCGCCTCGGGGTGGGGCGCACGGCATCCCCGCGCTCAAGCCGCTTTCCCTCACTCCCCCTCACACACGGGCGCGCGCGCACACGCGTGCACACAAGGCTGGCCCTGGGGCGGCGGGGGCGCCGCGGCGGGGTGCGGGCGCCTTCGCTGGACCCGCATTGCCCCCTAGTGCCGCGCGGAGTCAGGGCGCCGGGCTCCCCCGCCTGATGTCACCGGCGTGCAGTCAACCCAGCGGAGGCTCATTGAAAGCAGACCCTCCTCGGCGCTGGCTGGGCGGAGGCGCCGCTGTCCGCAGACCCGCCGCGGGCCCGGCCCGGCCGAGCCGAGCGGGCGCCCCCCGCCCGCGCCCCTCCTCCCGCGCTCCCTCGCGAGCCCGGCCGGCGCGCCTGACGTGGACCATTAACTTGGAGCTGCCGCCTGGTCCCCTCTCTCCTCCTCCTCCTCCTCCTCCTCCTCCTCCCTCTGACAGGCAAGCGAGCGGCGGTGCAGGAGCAGGCGCGCGCTGCCGGCCGGGCTGCGTGGGGAGATGACTCCTGGCCGGGAGGGCGCCTCTGGGAAGAAGACCACCACGGGGGAGGCAAAGTTTCAGGGCAGCTGAGGAGCCTTCCCCGCAGCCCTTCCAGCCCTATCAGCCCCGTGGCTATGGAGGGCGGACTCTAAAATGAATCCCGACCTGGACACCGGCCACAACACATCAGCACCTGCCCACTGGGGAGAGTTGAAAAATGCCAACTTCACTGGCCCCAACCAGACCTCGAACAACTCCAGACTGCCCCAGCTGGACGTCACCAGGGCCATCTCCGTGGGCCTGGTGCTGGGCGCCTTCATCCTCTTTGCCATCGTGGGCAACATCTTAGTCATCTTGTCTGTGGCCTGCAACCGTCACCTGCGGACACCCACCAACTACTTCATCGTCAACCTGGCCATCGCCGACCTGCTGCTAAGCTTCACCGTGCTGCCCTTCTCGGCCGCCCTGGAGGTGCTGGGCTACTGGGTGCTGGGCCGCATCTTCTGTGACATCTGGGCCGCCGTGGACGTCCTGTGCTGCACCGCCTCCATCCTGAGCCTGTGCGCCATCTCCATCGATCGCTACATCGGAGTGCGCTACTCTCTGCAGTACCCGACGCTGGTCACCCGCAGGAAGGCCATCCTGGCGCTCCTCGGCGTCTGGGTCTTGTCCACAGTCATCTCCATCGGGCCTCTCCTCGGGTGGAAGGAACCAGCACCCAACGATGACAAGGAATGCGGGGTCACCGAAGAGCCCTTCTATGCCCTCTTCTCCTCACTGGGCTCCTTCTACATCCCTCTGGCGGTCATCCTGGTCATGTACTGCCGCGTCTACATCGTGGCCAAGAGGACCACCAAGAACCTGGAGGCCGGAGTCATGAAGGAGATGTCCAATTCCAAGGAGCTGACCCTGAGGATCCACTCCAAGAACTTTCACGAGGACACCCTCAGCAGTACCAGGGCCAAAGGCCACAACCCCAGGAGTTCCATAGCTGTCAAACTTTTTAAGTTCTCCAGGGAAAAGAAAGCAGCCAAGACCTTGGGCATAGTGGTCGGGATGTTCATCTTGTGTTGGCTGCCCTTCTTCATCGCTCTGCCGCTTGGTAAGTTGGGGCCCTTGGCACTTTCCAGTCTTGGCTTTACCGATGAGCTTTCTGTAAAGTTTTTCTTATGGGTTTTGTGTTTTCATGCAGTGTGTGTGTGTGTGTGTGTGTGTGTGTGTGTGTGTGTGTGTGTGTGTGTGTTTGGAGCCTGGAGAATACCGTTCATTCTACAAAGGCTTTGCAGATTGGGTATCCGGCTAAGACCCAACTCAGGTGTTAGTGGAACATGCTAAGGGACTAGTCACTTGAAACAGAACCACAGGAGGAAAGCCTGGTATGTGGAATGACTCATTCAGCAGCCTCGGTTTAATAATTAAAAAGGCCACTGGACTTGAACATCACACCAGCCTTATTTCAGTAGTAATCATGTGTCGGCTAAGGCAGCGTCACGAATGCAGCATACAAAGTAGTTTGTAGTTACCGCAGACGCGGCATTTGGAAAGGAGGGAGGCAGCTTGTACACAGAGAGGCAGCTTTCATTCAGCGTCTCCAGGGCTCTTGCAGGGAGCCCCACGCTGCTCAGGAGCTTTGCAGAGGCTGTGTTCCCCTTCCTCCCTTCACGGCTTGCCATCACCTCAGTGCACTCCTTTCATGATGCGTTAATAAGAGCATTTTACAGCCCCACGGCCCCACAGCGCCGTTAAGTTATCTAAAGCCAGAGATTCCAAAGAGCAGGAAGATGACCTGAGGATCACACACTCTCACACCCCAAGATGTTCCTGACTCTGGTGATTTTGGAGAAATCGCCAGAATTAAATGATAGCTGTCCTTCACCTTCAGCTGCCAGACACCAGACCCTGCTAAAATGAAACTGAGTCCTTCCCCTCCTATAAAAACATGTCCATCTTCTTTTGTTTGGTAGTCCTCCTGAGTTGTTCCAGAGACTCCCCCCGACTGAGTTCTTCTAAGGAAAAAGAGGTCTGGTTAAGAGGCAAACCTAAAGGACAGCGTGACATGCTATCTGCATGGCCTGGGGGACACTTGTCCCTCCTCTGAGGCCCCGGTCCAGTGGGATTTCTCCTCCTGTCTCTGGGGACGCTCCGGAAAAATGAATGGAGGGAGGCGATCACGACCAAGTCATGTGCCCTGGTACCAGGAGAGGCACCGGCAGCTGCATGCCGTGGACCACACGCACCTGCAGTCACACCGGCGGCCCGGGTAGAGCTCCACACAGCGGAATTCCTCAAGTAACCGAAACCCTGAGACACGCTGCTGCTTTCAAGAGAAAGAGACAAATGAAAAGAAAGCAAATTGATATCAGGAATTTCCCTTTAAAAAAGATAAAGGGAAAAGGCTGTGTAACCTTCTCTCCACGGTGTCATTTCTAAGGCCAGCTAATGTCCGTCAGAAGTGTTTCCCATGTGTTAAGTGGACAGGGTTGAAGGCTCTGCCCTCCCCGACCCCCACCAGGAGTGAGCACATCTCACTGCGGAGAAGGTTTCTTTCCTTTCCCAAGGTCTAGGGGCCTTTTACAGGCTTGTTGGGTTAAGGTGGGTGACACTCAGACTGCATTGGGCCACACAAAGATTGGGGTTGTATGTGGAAGTGATATGGCCACCTATTGTTAGCTAAGTGACCTTGGGCAAATGACCACTTCTCTGTGGGCTTCAGTTTCTGCATCTGCATAATAGGGCTAATTACGATGTGCTCCACGGGGTTTGCACGGACACATGCAAAGGACTTAATACAGTGGTGCACTGACGATGCTCAGGGAGAGTTAGCTCTTAGTACCACACTCCCAAGCCCAGGCAAGCCCTCGGCTGTACTCATGTGCCAACCCCACACCTATTACTGAAGGCTCAGAAGAGAACTGGGCCCTTCTTCCTTCTGCCCCTGCCCCCTGGCCCGCAGAGGCTAGGGCCAGAGCATCCTCAGGAAGGAGCAGACCCCAGCAGGAGTCCGGGGGTGGGGCAGTCAAAGGTGCAGGCTCTCACTTAGGGGGGCAGGGGAAGCAGTTCCAGGTAGGAGAAGAGGCTGCCAGCCTATTGAAATGCTCTGGGGCTCAGGAGCAACCTGCTTGTCATGAGAGCTCTGCCATCAGGTAGATCTGTGACCTAAGGCTTGTTGCTTTACCTCTGTGGGCTTCACAGGCTGCTTCCGGGGAACCACACAGGGTTGGACTAGATCAGGGCTCTCAAACTGCAGTAAGTATCAGAAGCATCTGTGGAACTTGAGAAACTTTCAGCTTCTTAGGCCTAACCCAGAGAATCTGACTCAGTAGATCAGGTGGACCCCAGGAGTCCATGTGTTTAACCAGCCTACCAGGTGATTCGGAAGAGGTGGTCCACCGACCAGGCTCGGAGAACCACAGGTGGGACAACCCGCCGGCTCCGTGCAGGCTCCAGCCTCCTGGAGGCTGCAGTTTTAAATGCTGCAAAGCTTAGCCCTTCCACACAGCCCTGCCCTTGGTGGTACAGGGTGCTGTGGCCTCTCTCTGGGCCCTGCCATCAGGGCTGCCCTGAGTTTCTTCTCACTCACATCCTCTCCACTTTCCCCATTGCAGAGACCGTGTCCCCCTCACATCTCAGGTCCTCGGCTTCCATGCCATCGAAAGTGGGACGTTCTTGCTACCATGGTGCCCTCAGAGCTCGTTTCTCCTCTCCTTGCCATGAAAGCATCCATGCCGTTGTCTCCCCGAAGTGTCCCAGTGTGCTGTCCCTGACCCCTCCCTACCCATACTCTTCTCCCATGGAGACCCAGGCCTTAGCAGGTGGGGAATCTGGACTCCAGGCTTTTGGGTTTGGGATGGGCTCTGAGAGGTTCACACGAGCTTCAAACAGTGAAGGTGCCTAATTAACATGTTCTTAATATATCAGCAAGAGCATCCAACCAAAATGTGGGTTTCTACTTCTTCTGAGTTCAGATAACACCCAAATAAAAGTAGTGTGATATAGAACAATAACTCCTTTGGAATCCGAAGAAGGTTCCAAATTCTAAATTTTCCATGAAAGGCTTTCCACTCATAAGGCGAGAAAGCAGATCTGGGGGACGGTGGTTGGCCAACACAAGTGCAGGTAGGAGTACCTTCCAACTGGTGACTTCCGGGGGCCAGACGGCAGGAGATTTCCATAGCGTGTCTGTGCCCTCCACGGGAGAGAAGGGTTGGGATTCCTCTGGGAAGGAGGGCAAATAGCCATGCCCCCTGCAGGGTCCTGGTTAGGGGCCCCGTTTGTTTACCTTCCTCCCTTGTTTTTATTTTTGGGAGCAGGGTTGGGCTGCCTGCAGAGCAGGGTGTCTCATCTCCTGCAGAGCCCTCCCCACCTGTAACACCCTCCCTACCTCCTCCCCTCCCTTTCCCTGAGGCCTCAGACCAAGTTAGGCCAAGGACCAGCTCTTACTTACTCGGGAGCAGGGATGGACTCCACCAAACAAGGACCTCTTTATTCAGCCCCTGGAATCAGGCCACGCAGGGACAGGGAATAATTGGAATATAATATAGCAGCATTGCTACTCACTGGGTCATGTGCGAGATGTCCGAGGAATCTCCAGCTGCCCAGCATTAGAGTGAAGGCCAGCTCCCACCTGCCTGGGAAAGGCCTGGTCAGGGTCTCAGAAAGCGGCTGGTCTGTGGAGGAGGCACACTGCATTGGGGAGGATGGGGTTGCGGGGTGGTTAGGGGATAGCAGGAAGTGCTGGGCAGCCAACTGGTAGCTGGGCTTAGTGCATTACTTAGAAAACACTGGAACCTTGCCTTGCTCCAAATCTTTCTTCCATCTTTTAAAATGCTGAAAGGCACCAGGAAGCCATTATTGAACTAACTGCTTTCCCCTCCAAATAAATGAAGGTCAGTTTCAAAGAAACAGTTGTACTCTCTATATACTGGAACCAAATAGGAATTCCTCTCGCCATGGGCTTGTTCCTCCAGTCCTCTTATTCAAAGTGGGGCTGATGAATCCCCTCCTCCCACGAGAGCACAAGGGAGGGCGAGGGTCTCAGAGATGACTCAGGACAGAGCCCCCCCACAAACACACACTAATCCTCCAGCTCAGAGGGTTCAAAACACAAGGATTTGAGTTGCTCACAAGGAAAGCCGTTAGTTTAAGAGAGAAGAAATTTTTACGCATAGGGAATCCTTCCTGGAAGAGGGAACTCCTACTGAAGAAATATATATTTGATCCCTAATGAAATCATTAAGACTTCCTAAAGCATCTACTGTGTGCCAGACACTATATTAATTACTGGGCTGTTGGGCCAGAGTCAAACATGGCTCCCGCCTGCTGGAGTCTTACAGCCTAGTGAGATCTTATTATCATGGAGCACATCCTGTAAGGCAGACACTCTGTTAGGCCCTCTACAGACAGCATCTCATTAATCCTCACAGCTGCACTGCAGGACAGAGTACTTGCTCTGTGTCTACAGATAAAGATACTGAAGCTCAGAGAAGTTATCTTCTCACTCAAGGTCACACAGTAAGGAACTGACTGCATCAAGAGTTGAATCCAGGTCTGTCAGAACAGGCACCAACCTGTTCTTCTGCACCCAGGAGGTGTCTGGTCTTTCTGCTCTCTGGTTTCAAGCTACTCTCATTGCAGATGCTCTCCAGGAACCCCAGAGCCACCTTGCCGAAAGATGGTTATTGTACTTTTGTTATAAATCCCTACCTTTCCACTCACCCCTGAGAAAAAGATGCACGTACAAAATGTCAGGGACATTCATCCAACATCCCAGCCTAGGGCTGGATGTTCTCCACACCTCCTGCACTGTGTGGGGTGTGGGTCTCTCAAGGTTGGGCCTTTTACCATTCATTCACTCCCTCATTTCACTGAATAAGTATGTATTTATAGCATGCCTACTATGTTCAGGCATGTGCTAGACATGTAGTGATGAGCAAAACAGCCATGTTCCATGTTCTCATCGGATCTAGTTTTAGTGGGAAACACAGATAATTCGGAAAACCCAAGCACACAAACGTGAATGCAAATTAGGATACGTGACTTGAAGAAGGGGGGTGAGATGCTATTAGAAGTCTATAGCGGGAATCAGAATATCATAGGGGTCCC